GAAAAAAGTCGGAACTTTCTGAAACTTCTGAAACTTCCGAATCGCTTTGTTAATGGCGGACGCGATTGTGCAATACGCGAAAAACAGCACTGGCACTAGTTACCCTTCACGTTGGGGAAATCCACGAGGGCCCACTTGTCCCTTCCAGGACCCATCCCAAAGCCAGGGCCTCTGGGAGCCCTTCTCCTCACCAAAGTGGCCCGGTGGTCCAGTGGCGTATTGAGGTCCACCCCTTCCTTGATCAGCCGCCGGATGTCGTTCACCATGGTGCGCTCCATTGCCGAACGGGCATCTTCAATGGTCTCCTGAGTGATACCTGAAGAGGAAGAGGAGGGAGACGGATGAAAGGGACACTCCCCACAACAAGGATCTTCTCAGGGGAAATGGAGTGGGCGCTCACAGCTGAGACAGCCAAGATCTCGAATGGGGATATTTGGCCATAGGTTTTCTTTGGGTTTTTGTGCTTTTGTATCATAGGGTTTGTAATGACTTATATGGAGGGTTAGAAGGCAAAGAATCATAGAAACCTAGAGTTGGAAGAGACCTCATGGGCCATCCAGTCCAACCCCATTCTACTAAGAAGCAGGAATATTGCATTCAAAGCACACCCAACAGATGGCCATCCAGCCTGTTAAAAGCTTCCAAAGAAAGAGCCTCCACCACACTCCAGGGCAGAGAGTTCCACTGCTGAACGGCTCTCACAGTCAGGAAGTTCTTCCTCGTGTTCAGATGGAATCTCCTTTCTTGTTGTTCTGCGTCCCAGTCTCCAGGGAAGTAGAAAACAAGCCTGCTCCCTCCTCCCTATGATTTCCTCTCACGTATTTATACATGGCTATCATGTCTCCTCTCAGCCTCCTCATCTTCAGGCTAAACATGCCCAGCATGGTCATTAAGTTTGCAGACAACACCAAATGGGGAATCATAGAGTCATAGAATTGGAAGAGACCTGGTGGGCCATCCAGTCCAACCCCATTCTGCCAAGAAGCAGGACAATCACGTTCAAAGCACCCCCGACAGATGGCCATCCAGGCTCTGCTTCAAAGCCTCCAAAGAAGGAGCCTCCACCACACTTAAATAGAGGCTGGATGGCCATCTGTCGGGGGTGCTTGAATCCAATTATCCTGCTTCTTGACAGAATGGAGTTGGACTGGATGATGGCCCACCAGGTCCCTTCCAACTCTAGAATTCTATGAATCTCCTTTCTTGTAGTTTGAAGCCATTGTTCCATAGTCTCCAGGGGAGCAGAAAGGAAGCTTGCTCCTTCCACCCTAGGACATCCCCTCACATCTTTATACATGGCCATCATATCTCATCATCATTATTATTCACAGAGAGCTGAGCCACAACAATGGCTCCAGAGGGAGGCTGGGGAATTTCCACGCTGTCGTGGAAAACAGAATGACCCAGGTGGCATTTTAACCGCTGTCCCTGTTAACTGCTTGAAGGGAAACACTTTTGTAGCAGGAAATGGTGTCTTGCAAGTTAAATCATGCTGTGATCTTTTTTGCAAATGTTCTAAGAGGTATAGTAAAGGTAAAGGTTTGCCCTGACATTAAGTCCAGTCGTGTCCGACTCTGGGACTCTGGTGCTCATCTCAATTTCTAAGCCAAAGAGCCGGCGTTGTCCGTAGACACCTCCAAGGTCATGTGGCCAGCATGACTGCATGGAACGCCGTTACCTTCCCGCCGGAGCGGTTCCTATTGATCTACACACATTTGCATGTTTTTGAACTGCTAGGTTGGCAGAAGCTGGGGCTAACAGTGGGAGCTCACCCCACTCCCCAGATTTGAACAGCTGACCTTTTGGTCAGCAAATTCAGCAGCTCAGCGGTTTAACCCACTGCGCCACATGGGGAGCCCTCTAAGAGATATAAATAGCAGTAGAAAAACAATAAAGATCTAAATAAGGTTTGGAGGTTCCAGGCAAGTAACCATATTTGAGGAGTGGGTTTGGCTTAAGCTGGGTACTCCCTACCAAAAAATAATCCAGGCATGACTCCATGCTATAGAATTGCAGGATTTGTAGTTTGCTCTTTGGCAGAGAAGGCTAAAGACCCTGTAAAAACTACAACTCACAGGACAGAACTGAACCATGGCAGTTCAGTTGGCATCAAACTGCATTCTAGAGCATAGATGCACCTTAGGACCAGACTGGTTTTGGGTTCTCCCTTCTGCAGCTTCGTTCTAGAACGTTGCTGGCATGCCCTCCCCCCTCCCAATGGCATATCCGTGCTGGGTCGGCACTGAGGGCCAAGCAAATGTGAACCCAATGCCTACCTTGGTCGGCCATGGCGGTCTCGATGTAGTCCAAGGTGGCGTCATCCTCGCAGAGGTCGTAAGGCATGTTCCCATCCGAGTTGACGGCCAGCAGGTTGGCGCCTCTGGAAAAGGAAAAGAGGGTGGTACGGGGAAGCCGTGAACAGGTTGGCATTCAGTTTGCCTTCCGACTGCATCCAACTCGGGCTGCTGGCAAGAGTAACAGATACACAGAGCTATTTCTGTGCGAGAGGAGCTGACAGCGTGTGCAAAACACACATGCTCCATGGGCACCACCCATGCCAGCTTGGGTTTCTTCTTCCCTGCCTCCCGCATGCCACTTGGCAGGGAAAGTGGCACAAATAGTGTTCCTCCCACCCAGTATCACACTGCTACTTCTACACCTTGCAAGAGGGAGTCATAAAATCTGGATTCCACCTAAACATGAGGATGGACTTCCTGATGGGAAGAGTTGTTTAGCAGTGGAACCTCCTGCTGCTGCCTTGAAGTCTTCCCTTCTCTGTGTCAGGTCTGATCTGCTGCCCTGGAGACTAGGACGCAATGGAGCAATGGCTTCAAACTCCAGGGAAGGAGATTCCACCTGAACATGAGGAAGAACTGTGCGCCAGCTGCGCCCGTTCCTTGGGAAGTCTGACTTGGCTAATTTAACTATTTTACAATGCTTCAAAACTCTCCGGCAGCATGCAAAAGAATGAGGAAGTATTCCATCAGTGTCTCAAGTGGACAGTGAAACGACAGCTCCCCCAGTGGCCAGAATTCAGAGCATACCCTCATGAAGCAGTTAAAAAGTTAAAAAGCCTCTATGTGTCTGTCTATATATGCTGTGTCTATGGCATTTAATCTTTGCCATGTATATGTGCGTGCGGGGTGAGAAGGGCAGAATATAAATACTGTAAATAAATAAGTAAATAAATATTCCTATTCCTGTGGGACAGAAGGGGGTTGGACTGGATGGCCCTTGGAGGCCTCTCCTATGAGTCTATGCCTCTGACTCCACAAACTGTCCTTCACTCAGTGATGGAGACTGATGGATGAGCCAGAAGAGGCAATAGAAATTCCTAAGTGGGACCATTTCTGTGTCAGGCCTAGGGAACCCACTACCACAAGGAAAGCCTCTTCCCCGACAAGGGACTTCTCCAGGCTGCTTCCAAGCGATTCTCCTGTTGGCCAGGATGAAGCTTTACTTACCGGAGATCCCTGAGGGCCGCCAGCAGTGCTAACGATAGAGTTACCTGCCTGACAATATCACGCCATTAAATATTTACAGCCCGACAAGCCAGGCCCAAAGCAATTACATCAGAGATGGACAACATGACCTCGATTTTGGGTGAGGCAAGGAACTGGCTGAGGGTGCCACCTGGCAGCCCTGATGGACTGGAGGAGAGAGGGCCAATGGGATTTTGGCCGGGATCAATAGGAGTAGAGTGCCTAGGTCCAGGGAAGTCATGCTCCCCATGCTCTATTCTGCCTTGGTTAGACCACACCTGGAATCACACTGTGTCCAATTCTGGGTACCATAACTGAAGAGAGATATTGACAAGCTGGAATGTGTCCAGAGGAGGGCGACTAAAAGAATGAAGGGTCTGGAGAACAAGCCCTATGAGGAGCGGATTAAGGAGCTGGGCATGTTGAGCCTGAAGAAGAGAAGGCTGAGAGAAGACATGATGAGGGCCATGTATAAATACGTGAGAGGAAGCCACAGGGAGGAGGAGGGAGCAAGCTTCCTTTCTGCTTCCCTGGAGACTAGGACGCAATGGAGCCATGGCTTCAAACTACAAGAGAGGAGATTCCATTTGAACATGAGGAAGAACTTCCTGACTGTGAGAGTCGTTCAGCAGGGGAACTCTCTGCCCCAGAGTGTGGTGGAGGCCCCTTCTTTGGAAGCTTTTAAACAGGGGCTGGATGGCCATCTGTCAGGGGTGGTTTGAATGCAATATTCCTGCTTTTTGGCAGAATGTGGTTGGACTGGATGGCCCAGGAGGTCTCTTCCAACTCTAGAATTCTATGATTCTATGAGGGCTGATAAACTGAAGCTTAATCCAGACAAGACAGAGGTCCTCCTGGTCACTCGTGGGGCCAATCGGGGCATAGGGTGGCTGCCTATAATAACAAGTTAAAATACATATAGATTAAAATTACAAATAAGTCAAATAGCCAAGATAAAATCATGCCCAACTCAGTCCGTACGTGTGGTCGATAACTTTGTTCTGTAGCCGGCTTCAACCTTTACTCTGGGAATGCTGACTTCCGTAGCCAGGATTTCACTAGCTCCCTGAAGGACAGGAAGGAGGGGCAGATCTGATCTCAACTGGGAGAGAGTTCCATAGCTGAGGGGCCACCACAGAAAAGGCCCTGCCTCTCGTTCCCGCCAGACGCGATTGCGAAAGTGGTGGGACCGAGAGCAGGGCCCCACCAGAAGATCTTAATTGTCTTGGTGGTTCATAGGGGAGAATACATTCGGACAGGTAAACCAGGCCGGAACCGTATAGGGTTTTGTAGGTTAAAACCAGCACTTTGAATTGTGCTCGGAAGCTAATTGGCAGCCAGTGGAGCTGGCGCAACAAAGGAGTCTTGTACGTATGTCATGTCAAGATTCATCGAACTCTCTGCTCAAGACTCATGTTCAAGTTACTGCTGGTGAATGTTTCCCTGTGTAATTCTTCTGTGGATTTTGGATCTGTGCAACCTTGTTCCCTGGCTTTTCAAGAGACTTTGGACATTTTCCTCTGTGGGTTTTTAAGGACTATGCATTCGTGGATCTTGCTGTGGAATTAAGAATCAACTCTGTTCTCTTTCATGGATTATATTTGCCTACCTGCTGGTTTGGATTGTTTTATACTTTCTATATAATCTTTTACTTGCCTTTTTCACCTTTTTCCATTCTGTTTAATTGTTAAAGAACTTTGAAGTGTTTGTGGGTTCAAAGGTGTGCTTCCAGCCTTGGTGTGCGACAGATGGCTAGGTGCCGGGTGGCTGGCAGATTCTAGGTACTTTCTTCCAAAAACAAAGGCTCTGTGCAAAGCCCTCTGGGTCTCCAAGAGCTCTGTAGGGCTACACGTAAGTAGTGCGCTTGGTGCAGCACCTGACCCTGCATTAATAGGAGCATAGTGTCTAGATCTAGGGAAGTCCTGCTCCCCATGCTCTATTCCGCTTTGGTTAGACCACACCTGGAATATTGTGTCCAATTCTGGGCACCACAATTCAAGAGAGGTATTGACAAGCTGGAATGTGTCCAGAGGAGGGCAACTAAAATGATCAAGTCTGGAGAACAAGCCCTATGAGGAGCGGCTTAAGGAGCTGGGCATGTTTAGCCTGAGAAGAGAAGGCTGAGAGGAGATATGATAGCCATGTATAAATATGTGAGAGGAAGCCACAGGGAGGAGGAGGGAGCAAGCTTGTTTTCTGCTTCCCTGGAGACTAGGACGTGAACAATGGCTTCAAACTACAAGAGAGGAGATTCCATCTGAACATGAGGAAGAACTTCCTGACTGTGAGAGCCGTTCAGCAGTGGAACTCTCTGCCCCGGAGTGTGGTGGAGGCTCCTTCTTTGGAAGCTTTTAAACAGAGGCTGGATGGCCATCTGTCAGGGGTGATTTGAATGCAATATTCCTGCTTCTTGGCAGAATGGGGTTGGACTGGATGGCCCATGAGGTCTCTTCCAACTCTTTGATTCTATGATTCTATGACCCCCTGGCACCCTGCTTCTCTCCACAATTACCTCCGAATGAGCAGCTGCACCAGGTGAAGGTGCCCGCAGGTAGCAGCGGCATGAAGCGGGGTCCAGAGTTCACTGTCACAGGCATTGACGTCCGCACCAGCTTCCAGCAACAGCAGCACAATATCCTCATAGTCATCGATGCAACACTGAGAAAAAGGGGGAAACATACAAAGAGAAGGCAATGAACACAAGGGCCACAAAGGGCAGGGCGCAGAATGTCTCGAGCCAAGCCATCTTCCTCCAAAGTCATTCTTTCCAGATCATAGAATCAAGGAAGAGACCACAGGGACTACTCAGTCCAACTCCCCTCTGCCAGGCAGGAACACATTATTATTGTTGTTATTGTTACGTATTATTACATATTATTATATATTTTTATTTATTTTATTTATTTAAAACTGATACCCCGTCCTTCTTGACTTCTGCAGAGAGATTCAGAACGGCTTCCAAACAAGCAACAATTTGGGTTGTGGTAGGTTTTTTCGGGCTATATGGCCATGTTCTAGAGGCATTCTCTCCTGATGTTTCGCCTGCATCTATGGCAAGCATCCTCAGAGGTAGTGAGGTCTGTTGGAACTAGGAAAATGGGTTTATATATCTGTGGAATAATGACCAGGGTGGGACAAAGAACTTTTGTCTGGTGGAGCGAGGTGTGAATGTTTCAACTGACCACCTTGGAGTGGCTTGTTCGTGCCTGGGGCAATCTTTTGTTGAGAGGTGATTAGCTGTCTCTGATTGTTCTCTCTCTGTTGGCTTGCTGTTGTAATTTTAGAGTTTTTTTGTTGTAAACAACAGAGAGGGAACAATCAGGGACATCTTACCTCTGAACTCAGTTCCTATTTTGATTGCGATATTTTTAAGTTAAGCCATAATTATCCTGTTATAATTGCTCTATTCCTATTCTACTTTTTGTTCTATCCACCTTACTGACCAATCTATCCTCTAACTCGTTTTGCATACTGGTCCCCTCCCTCCAAAAATGAGAAAAAAAACCAAAAGAAAGACCACAGCGTCCTGTTTTCCTATAGATATGCTACCATATGCAGAGAAGCGTTATATATTTATTGTGTTTAATCGATGCATGCTGTTTTATGTTGTTTTCATCATACTACTAAGTCTGTCTCCACGGTTTTCTAACTGTCCTGTTGCCATCAGTCCTGGCTCCCTGTCCCGAAATCTGCCCAAAAAAAAAAAAAAAAAAACTCAGAGTCCACTTCAGAAGACAGGGACCAAGTAAGGTAACGACAATCAAAGTTCTTCTTTCTCCTCCTCAAGCTCGCGTCGCTCGCGGTGCGGCTCACCCTCACGCAACTACCCCTCCTCCCTCCTAAAAGCCTGGCCCCAATCCTCCTACCCCTCGCTCCTGTAATATACTCAATCTGCGCTGTCGGCGTGCGTGATCCCCGCCCTCAACAAAACACTAGCTATAAACATCAAATAAAGATCCATACCTATACTCATACATTCTTTCTTTCAACTTCACCCTACTCCACACATCCAATACTAACCTACACTTCAACCTCACTATTCATACACTACCCTCCACTACCCCTACCGACCTAAATCAAAAACTGCTGGGCCGGCGCGCTGCTTCCATTCTCTCACAATACAGGTTCCCCATACCCTCATCTCAAAAAAAACTCCCCTTAAACTCCATAGCATTAAAAAATCTAATCTCTCCTATCTATAATTCATCTCTCTTGTCCTGCGCGTGGGCCTTATATCCAATTCTATCTCACTAATCTCCTCACTCACTGGCCTTCCCATTCGTCCCCTCCCATCCTTACTCACTCTATATCTTCTTCTCCTTCTCCTTACTCAATCACCTCAAAGACGTCCTACCTCTTACTTCTCCATACTTCAATAACATCAATCTATCTATACCATATCTCCTCACTAACATAACACACTCACATACACTATCTTACATCCCTCCACTCCTCATCACTCGACTCCTCTGGCCTTCAATACAAACCACTGCTGGACAACCCATTGTAGTCCTTCCACGGCCGCTCTTCCAAGGCAGTAGGGCCGGCGACGAACTCGGATGCGAGGGTTGTGCATCCACAGTCCCTCCAATTCTTAGCACCTGCTCACATTTCAACTTGCATCGCGACCCTGTTGCGCACAGATCGGAACTTAAACACAACATACAGATTGCAAAGTCTAGGCACATTGGGGCCCCAGAGTTTTTATGTTGTTACACAGGCTCCATCCACGGATAAAAACTTCGTGCCCCACCCCACCCTCTAGCTTATCAAGAATGTCAGCACTGAAGGGTCCAGGAGTGACCGCCTCGAGTGCACGGACAACTAAAGTGATCTAATCAAAGGGGAGTGCGAGCCATGTTCAACGCACGAGGATTGCCACCACTACCTACACGACCCCTGTTTGCTGGTTTCCCAAGGGTGAGCTGGACCAAATAGCCAAATAGACCAGTTTCAGGCCTCCTCGCCCACACACCCAGAAAAAGGACATCTAAAAAGCTAAATGTACCCGCTAACCCTAGCATCAAAGGCGGCCATACCTACAGTGTATCTCCAATTTCGATCCCATCGAATTTGCATGCCATAACCCTTGTGTTTATCCTTTTCTAACGAAGGAATGAATTCTTAACCTAACAGATGTGGCTGTTGTAGAGAACTAAGGGGGGGGTACAGACTAGAGAGCACACAGTAGTATACTCTGATGAGGGATTATCCGCCGAGCTCAGTTACAGAGTCGGGCCTCTTCACACAACCCAGTCCCTACTTCATCAACCCAGTCGAAGCGCAACGCTCCCAGCTCTTTCACAGCCAGCAGCGCCCACTCGACGAACTGTGTATTAATCTAAACACTACCTAGTGTGGCATGGGGGCGCGAGGGCTTGGAGGGTCGGACTGACCTAATAAGAAGCGAAGCTGGGTAGAGTGACAAAAGGACCGAGCAGGGGAGCTCTGGTAGTGAAAAGGGCTGGTCCATGAGAAGTGATTACAGAAGTCGTCGAGACTGACATACTGAATGACATGAACAACAACACGGTGTAAAGATTGATTTCAGAAGAAAGAGGACAGAATATCATACAAACCTGATACAGGAGGCAAGCAGAAGACACAGGCTAGTACAGCTTAACGAGACAGACCGAACAAGACTAATACGAAGACGAAAGATGGGAACCTAAAGACATACGGGACTGAACACAGTGGAATATTGAATTCACAAAAAAGTTATTATTAATCGAGGAAAAGTTGAGAAATAGCTAAACAAGAGGGGCCATGGGGGCCCAAGAAACACGCTTCATGTTTTGGCAAAGGAGTATAAGCATTGTCTCGTTTGTTAGAGCCAAAACTTGGTCAACAGCAACAAATAATTTTATATTTTATTGATCAAACCTTTGTCAAAGCAACTTTTTGTTTAACCAAGAAGCTTGCCTTTGCTTGTCTGGATTATCTTGCAGTTCTTGTGTTCATGTTTTCAGGACTTTGTCATGTTCTCTTGGGATTTTGCTTTGCTGGTGCCTTGTTGGATTAAGCTTCAAAGTGCTATATTATATTGATCTTTTGGGAACATTAACCTTTGCTTTTAAGAACTTTTTTCCTTTTATTTTTAATAAACTACAAAGACTTCTGGCTGTGTACAGTTTGGTGTTTTCAGCACGGTGAATCTACTATGAGGTGCAACAGTGGCTGAGATTGCAAGGTGTACCCCTGGCCAAAATGCCCGGTGAGGGCCTGGGGGACAGATGGCATTGGGCTGAAGGGAGGATTTGCATCCCTCCTCCATCCCCTCAACTTCCTTCTGCAAAGACTGGGAGAAGCAGCCAGGATTAAAGGCTCAGTGGGGAGTGTCTCTTTGCAAGGCAACACATCGTGCTGGGGATCAGCAGAAAGATGGGAGCAACCAAGGCTGCAAGAATTTCCTAAACTGCAAAGAGGAGGACAAGGGGAAGTGAGTGAGACACAAACCGGAAGGCTAATTCTCGGAAGGACCACAGCTGGAAATTGTGTCCAATTCTGGGCACCACAGTTGAAGAGAGATACTGACAAGCTGGAATGTGTCCAGAGGAGGGCAACTAAAATGATCAAGGGTCTGGAGAACAAGCCCTATGAGGAGCGGCTTAAGGAGCTGGGCATGTTTAGCCTGAAGAAGAGAAGGCTGAGAGGAGATATGATAGCCATGTATAAATATGTGAGAGGAAGCCACAGGGAGGAGGAGGGAGCAAGCTTGTGTTCTGCTTCCCTGGAGACTAGGACACAAAACAATGGCTTCAAACTACAAGAGAGGAAATTCCATTTGAACATGAGGAAGAACTTCCTGACTGTGAGAGCCATTCAGCAGTGGAACTCTCTGCCCCGGAGTGTGGTGGAGGCTCCTTCTTTGGAAGCTTTTAAACAGAGGCTGGATGGCCATCTGTCAGGGGTGATTTGAATGCAATATTCCTGCTTCTTGGCAGAATGGGGTTGGACTGGATGGCCCATGAGGTCTTTGATTCTATGATTCTATTATTCTATGACCCAAAAGATAGTTGCATCTGTCAAGTAGGAAATTTAAGTACCGCTTTATGCGGGGAGGATAATTTAACTAATTTACAATGCCATAAAAATCTCCAGCAGCGTGCAAAAGAATGAGGAAGTACTCCATCAAAGGATTCAGTATCACAAGTGGACGGTGAAGCAACAGCTCCCCCTGTGGCCGTCATTGAGCATACCCTCATGAAGCCGGAAAGGGTTTGTCTATCTATATATGTTGTGGGTCTAATGGCATTGAATGTTTGCCATGTATTTGTGCATTGCAATCCGCCCCGAGTCCCCCGCGGGTTGAGAAGTTCAGAATATGAATACTGTACGTAAATAAATAAATCTATATAAATAAAAAATGTAATGTTCATTTGTGGGATTAACAGAACGCAAAAACCACTCGACGAATTGACACCAAATTTGGACACAAGACACCTAACAACCCAATGTATGTCCTTCACTCAAAAAATAGATTTTGTCATTTGGGAGTTGTAGTTGCTGGGATTTATAGTTCACCTACAATCACAGAGCATTCAGAACCCCACCAACGATGGAATTGAACCAAACTTGGCACAACGTTCTCCCATGACCAACAGAAAATACTGGAAGGGTTTGGTGGGCAGTGTCCTTTGGTTTTGGAGTTGTAGTTCACCTTCATCCAGAGATCACTGTGGACTCAAACAATGATGGATCTGGACCAAACTCTACACAAATACTTCATATGCCCAAATATGAACGCTGATGGAGTTTGGGGAAAATAGAATCTTGACATTTGGGAGTTATAGTTGCTGGGATTTATAGTTCACCTACAATCACAGAGCATTCTGAACCCCACCAAGGATAGAATTGGGCCAAACCTCCCACACAGAACCTCCACAGCAATGTGTGGCAGGGGACGGCAAGTAAATAAATAAGGAGCCAAAGCTTCATCCTTGGGATTAGCATCATCCTTGGGATGAAAGACTGGGAAATATTGGCTCTAGACCAGGCAAACCCACCCAACAGTAAGCACAGGAGAAAACGAGACGAAGAGACTAGGGGAAAGCACGATAAGAGTTGAAAGGGATGCCAAAGGCCATCCAGTCCAACCCCCCTTCTGCAAGGAAGGAAGACACCATCCAAGACTTCCCAACAGATGGTGACCAATGACAAAATCAATCCCCCACCCAACCTAACCAGTATTCAAATTTGGGCGTATCGGGTATTTTTGCCAAATTATATCTGGCTTATCAGATACATGACAATTCATAACAGTAGCCAAATTACAATTATGACGTAGCAACAAAAATAATGTTATGTTTGGAGGTCACCACATCATGAGGAACTGTATTAAGGATTGCGGCATTCAGAAGGTTGAGAAACACTGATGTAGACACCAAACTCCTGCTGATGCAGTCTAGAAACACATTGGCCCTTATCGCTCCAGCATCACACTGTTGGCTCATGTTCTGCTTGAGAGCTACTGAGTCTCCTAGATCCCTTTCCCATGAAGTCTCTCCAAGCCTGTGTCACTCATGCGATATCTGTGTGTTTCCCTGTTACTGCCAAACTGTAGGCCCATACATTTTTCCCTGTTGAAGTTCATTTTGCTAGTTGTGGCCCAGCTCTCTCATCTGCAAAGGTCTTTTTGGACCATGATCCTGTCCTCCAGGGTATTCACCATCCCTCCCAATTTGCCCCTCGCTTGCATCTCATGGGGAGAAACACAACTGGCGGTTCCCTCCAGTTACCGCCCAGTTTCGAATCTCTCGTTCCTGGGCAAGGTGATTGAGAGGGCAGCAGCGGAGCAGTTGCAGCAATTTCTAGACGACACAGCCGGACTAGATCCCTTCCAGTCCGGCTTCCGTGCGGGCACGGGACAGAGACTGTGCTGGTCTCCATCACGGATCACCTTCGATGCCAGCTTGACCAGGGCGGGTCAGCTGCTTGTGTTATTGGATCTCACAGCAGCATTTGACACAGTCGACCACAATCTCTTGACCCACCGCCTTGCTGTTGCTGGAGTCAGGGGGAGAGCTTTAAATTGGCTGTCCTCCTTTCTTCACAACCGTGGACAGCGAGTGGAGAGGGGAGGCCTGGTCTCTGAGAGGTCCCCTCTCTCTTGTGGGGTTCCTCAGGGGGCCATTCTCTCCCCTCTGTTGTTTAACATCTATATGCGACCACTTGCTCAGCTGGTTCGAGGTTTTGGGCTTGAGTGTTATCAGTACGCCGATGACACTCAGCTGGTGCTGAAGATGGAAGGCCGACCGGACTCTGTACCCGATTGTTTCCATCAGTGCCTCGAGGCCGTTACTGGATGGCTGCGTGCCAGCAGGTTGAGGGTGAATCCAGCAAAGACGGAGATCCTATGGCTGGGTCGACCGGGCAGTGGGGACATCCAGCTGCCTACCCTGGATGGCGAGGCGCTACGCCCGTCATCATTGGTAAAGAGTCTGGGAGTCCTTTTGGACCCTCTGCTGACAATGGAGGCCCAGGTCTCTGCCGTGAGCAGAACCGCCTTCTTTCACCTGCGGCAGGCTAGACGGCTGGCCCCCTACCTGTCCAGGGACGACCTAGCTACGGTGATCCAGGCCACGGTCATCTCAAGACTGGACTACTGTAACACCCTCTACATTGGCCTTCCTCTGTTGGTGATCCGGAAGATCAAGTTGGTACAAAATGCAGCTGCTCGCTTCTTGCGGGAATTCCGATGAGATGCCACATAACACCAATCTTACTACAGCTGCATTGGCTTGCATGGTCTGGGGCCGATGTATCTGAGGGACTACCTCACCCCCTACCAACCCCAGAGATCCTCCGTTCTGAGGACCAAGATCTATTGGAAGTCCCCAGTGTCAAGACCTTGCATCTAACAGCAACCAGACGCAGAGCCTTCACAGCAGTGGCACCATCACTCTGGAATACTCTGCCACCTGAAGTCCGTGCCTTGCAGGACTTATCAGCTTTCCGCAGGGCATGTAAGACATACCTGTTTCGACAGGCTTTTAATGTTTCATAGTGTTGTTTTTAAATTGTTTTAAATTGCTTTTAAATTTTGTTAGATTTTAGCTATTCTTGTAAGCCGCTCCGAGCCCCAGGGGAGTGGCGGCATATAAGTTTAAATAATAAATAAATAAATAAATAAACATCCCCAGCAGGTGCAGAATTTTATTCATGTTAACTAGCTGTACCCGCCACGCGTTGCTGTGGCCAACCGTCCCTCCCTCTTTCTCTTCCTTTTTTCCCTCCTTCCTTCGCTCCCTCTTTCCTTCCTTTTCTTTTCTCCCTCTTCCTTCTCCTTCTCCTCTTCCTTCCCCTTCTTTTCCTTCTCTTCTCTCCTTTCTTCTCTCTACCTCTTTCCTTCCTTCCTTAACTCTTTGCTTCCATGCTTCCTTCTCTTTCTCTTTTCTTTCCCTCTTTCCTCCTTCCTCTCTTTCTTTCTTCTTCTTCTTTCTTCCTCTCTCTTCCTTCCCTTTTTTCTGTATTGTCATTTAGCTTTTTTGAGTTTAAGTCCTTTCCACTGTTTTTTTGGGGGGTGGAGTGTGTGTGTGTGGGGGGGGGTTAATGAGTGATGGTCACTCACTGGTTTGTTAGGGGTATAGTGTCCAAATTTTGTGTCAATTTGTCCAGTGGTTTTGAGTTATGTTCATCCCACAAATTAACATTGCATTTTTATTTATATAGATGGTGCGGACACCTGGAAGGCGGAAAGCAGGCATTCGACTCACCTGATGCAATGCAGTGAGTCCATCTTCGTTGAACAAGTTGGGATCGACGCCACTCTGAAGCAACTGCCGCACTGCAAAAAAAAAAGAAGAGGCCACTGAAAGGGACGCATGAGACGTGGCAGGCAAAGTGGCATCAAAACTGCATTCATTCTGCAGTGGAGATGCACTGAGAGAGCACCACTGGGAAAACAGGGAGCAAACCAACCAGCCTGGATTCATCTCTGGCTCCGACTCAAAAAGGTAATGATTTTTTTGCCTTCGATGCCCTGCAGAATGGAACATCATCCGCCCTGTGTGACCTTAAAACTATCCCTCAGAGGACTAACAGATTTCAGATCTTTAGCCATATTGGCTAAAACAGTCTTCTCCGGACCGTTCTAGCTTGACCATATCCTTTCTGAATTGTTTTGCCCAGACTTAGACACGAGGTTATTACAAGGGAGGTCTAACCAAAATGGAGTAGAGCACGAATGGGCAAACTTTGGCTCTCCAGGTGTTTTGGACTTCAACTCCTGCAATTCCTAATAGCCTACCCACTGAACTGTGGAAGTCCAAACATCCATAGGCAGACCAAGCTGCTTGTTTATAAAGCCATTGTCCTCCCAACTCTGCGAAACGTGGACTGTCTACAGACATCATACGCAACTCCTGGAACGATTCCATCAGCATTGCCTCTGAAAAATCCTGCAAATCTCTTGGGAAGACAGGCGAACAAATGTTAGCGTGCTGGAAGAAGAAGCAAAGACAACCAGCACTGAAGCGATGCTTCTCTGCCATCAACTCCGCTGGACCGGCCACGTTGTCCGAATGCCTAAAGATCACCGTCACCCAAAGCAGTTACTCTATTCCGAACTCAAGAATGGAAAACGGAATATTGGTGGACAGGAAAAGAGATTTAAAGATGGGCCCAAAGCCAACCTCAAAAACTGTGGCATAGACATTGAGAACTGGGAAGCCCTGGCCCTTGAGCACTCCAGCTGGAGGTCAGCTGTGACCAGCAGTGCTGCAGAATTTGACTAGGCACGAATGGAGGGCAAAAGGGAGAAACGTGCCAAGAAGAAGGCACATCAAGCCAACCCTGACCAGGACCAAACCAATGTCCGCACTGCAGGAGAACATGTGGATAAAGAATAGGGCTCCACAGCCACTTACAGACCTACCATCAAGACACCACATCTGGAGGGCAATCATCCTCAAGCTATGAGGGATCGTCTAAGTAAGGATGGATGGATGGATGGAAGGAAGGACGTCCAAAACTCCTGGAGAGCTCAAGTTTGCCCATGCCTGAGTTAAGAGGTTTAATCTAGCTGTTTGAGGGACTCCAAAACAAGAACCCCCTGCAAGCCCAGAAGATTGACCAGAGTCTGGGGAAAAGGTGGCCTTTTTGGACAGTTGCTCTGAATATCCCCCAGTCGCACATGCTGGGAATGGCAGTCCCAACAGAAGAAGACCTCTCCTGAAGCCCACATGGATTGCCAAGGAATCCCAGGAGGCACAGCCTCTATTTTGGAGGAAGGAAGCAAGAAGGAACTGGCAAAACCGGGAGATGCTCAGAAGCGTGTAAGGATTCCCAGATGAAGGTGCAGCCGAGGGGCTGGATCTGCGCCAAAGCCACCATCTGATCCAACACAGCCGGTCAGGAAAGTGATGCCAAGCCCAACGCCTCTGTGTGCAAGAAGGGCAATGTTCCCAAAGTAGAAGCCACTCCTGGCCAACGTAAACTTGGCAGCGGAAAGAGGAAGGGGAGCCGCCACCACTGAGGGAAAACACCTGAAGTCACGGCAGTGACGGGATCCGGCACAACTGCAAACCGGTTTCTTTCCCAGGCTGGAGAAAGCTCAAGGGCAGCCTGTGCGTGGCTGGGGAAGACGAGGAAGGCTTTCACGGAGGAGGCTTTGGGAGAGGCAAAGCGGACAAGGAAAGCACACAAAAGGGCTTGTTCTCAAGGGTCTGGAGAACAAGCCCTATGAGGAGCAGCTTAAAGATGGGCATGTTCCTGCTTCCTGTTCCTGCAATATTCCTGCTTCTTGGCAGGGGGTTGGACTGGATGGCCCATGAGGTCTCTTCCAACTCTATGATTCTATGATTCTATTTTTAGCCTGAAGAAGAGAAGGATAAACATGATAGAGGAGACATGACAGCCATGTATAAATATGTGAGAGGAAGTCCTAGGGAGGGAGGAGCAAGCTTCCTTTCTACTGCCCTGGAGACTAGGACACAATGGAGCCATGGTTTTAAACTACAAGCAAGGAGATTCCACCTGAACACTAGGAAGAACTTCCTGACTGTGAAAGTTGTTCAGCAGTGGAACTCTCTGCCCCAGAGTATGGTGGAGGCTCCTTCTTTGGAGGCTTTTAAACAAAGGCTGGATGGCCATCTGTCAAGGGTGCTTTGAATGAGATTTTTCTGCTTCTTGGCAGAATGGGGTTGGACTGGATGGCCCACGAGGTTTCTTCCAACTCTAGGATTCTATGAAACCATGAAACCAGGCTGAGCATCCTTTATCCAAAATGCTCAGAACAGGGGCACTCCGGGTCTGGAACATGAGGAAGAACTTCCTGACTGTGAGAGCCGTTCAGCAGTGGAACTCTCTGCCCCAGAGTGTGGTGGAGGCTCCTTCTTTGGAAGCTTTTAAACAGAGGCTGGATGGCCATCTGTCAAGGGTGATTTGAATGCAATATTCCTGCTTCTTGGCAGAATGGGGTTGGACTGGATGGCCCAGGAGGTCTCTTCCAACTCTAGGATTGTATGATTCTATGAATGCCAATCTTTGCATACATGCAGTTCCCAACTTACAAACATCCGACGTACAAACAACTCCTACTTAAGAACAGGGGTGAGACAACAGGAAGTGAGAGGAATCACTCCCTTGGAGGGGAAATCCACTCCTCGGGAAGTTATCATCATGGGGGAAAGGGGTCTCCATTGAAGCCTTATCCATAATTCTTGTCTCTAAAACAAGCCATTTCCCCCCAAAATCCAATTCTCATAGGGACAGAGAGACAAAATCTTCTGAAAAGGGGCATAGGCAGCAAAGGAAACACCACAGGGGTGGTCACCCTTCCCTATGCAATCATCACATCATCATCATCATCATCATCATCATCATTGTTTTATTTCTTGCCCACCATTACTACAACATAAACAAACACAGTCTTCTTAAAACACCCCGTAAAATATATACCGGTATATTAAATACATATTAAAATACACAAAACAAAAATAAAGCATACAGTGGAGTTTAAAATTCATAATTAAAACTCTGGGTAAGCCTTGTATATGTGTGTGTGTGTGTGTGTGTATCTATCTATGTAAACAAAAATGTAATGTTTGTTTGTGGGATTAACATAACTCAAAAACCTCTGGACCAATTGACACCAAATTTGGACACAAGACACCTCTCAGGCCAATGAGTGACCATCACTCATAAAAACACCGAAAAACACAGTGGAAGAAACTTTAAAAACCAAAAAATAAAAAATACATTACAACACATGCACAAAACCACATACATACACACAAACGCACATATATACACACAAAACACATAATCACAGACTGGGCCACAGCAACGCATGACAGGAGATGGCTAGTCTATATAAATAAAAATGTAATGTTTGTGGGATTAACATAACTCAAAAACCACTTGACACCAAATTTGGACACAATACACCTATCAGGCCAACGAGTGACCAACACTCATAAAAACACTGAAAAACACAGCAGAAGAGACTTAAAAAGCCAAAAAACAAAAATTGCAATGCATGCACATAACCACATATATATATATATATGCAAACACACATATATACACATATACACAAATATATACACACATATACACACACAAACACATATACACAGAATGGGCCACAGCAACACACGGCAGGGGTTGACATGTTTCGACAGGCAGGCATCCCAGGGTTCCTTGTGTGGAATTTGCATGATCCCACCTGCTGCCTCTCCCTTAACCCTTTCCTATCCTTTCCTATGGCACACAGCAAATACAGGGGAAATTATCAGCAACTGAGCAGACCAGAGGGGTTTGGGGGACTGACTCTACAGGATGGAAGTTGTAGTGTCCCCCTTCAATAATGGACGTGGACCACATTTGGCATGCAGAACCCCCATGACCAGGTTTGGGGGAATTGACCTTGATTTATAGGAGATGTAGTTCACCTACATCCAGAGAGCATTGTGAACCCAACCAATGATAGATCTGGACCAAACTTGCCACAGATGATGGGATCTGCAATACCTTCGCTCACTTCCAGAGACCACTGAGACCCCCACGAAGGACGGATCAGGACCATACTTGGCACACAGACCTCCCATGACCCACTATAAATCTTGGTGAAGTTTGGAGGAGAACGGGCCACAGATGATGGGATTTGCAGTATCTTCACCCAACTTGGCTCCCACAGACCACTACGACTCCCATGTATGATGGACCTGGACCAACCATGCCACACAGACTCTCCATGATGCACTTTTTGTCCTGGTGAGGATTGGAGGCAGACTGGGGATGATGGGATTTGCAGTATCTTGGGAGCATTTATAAAAAACAAAATCAAAGACTAGCTTTTTACTAAATAACTAAATGATATTACTTAACACTTTAGACAATGTTGACCATTTCTGCTACCTTGACAGCCACTTCTCCACAAAAGTCAACATTGACACTGAAATTCAACACCACCTGAGCTCTGAGAGTGCAGCATTTTTCCGGACTGTTTGAGGACCGGGACATCCGTAGGGAGACCAAAGGGCTTGTTTATAAAGCTATTGTCCTCCCAACCCTGCTATAGGCCTGCGAGACGTGGACTGTCTACAGACGTCACATGCAATTCTTGGAATGATTCCATCAGCACTGACCCGGGAAAATCCTGCAAATCTCTTAAGAAGACAAGTGGACAAATGTCAGCGTGCTGGAAAAAGCAAAGACCACCAGCATTGAAGCGATGGTCCTCCGCCATCAACTCCGCTGGACTGGCCACGTTGTCCGGATGCCCGACCACCGTCTCCCAAAGCAGTTGCTCTACTCCGAACTCAAGAATGGAAAATGGAATGT